ATTAACTTTAAACTGCGAAGCAATGGGTCCCATACGTCGGACCATCGTAATCCTAACTAAATTCCTCGCCCGACAATCGCGCGTTATATTCCTTCTCCCTTTCATTTATTCCCCTTAATTTTTTTTTCTCTTATACATGTCTTGATTTTGTTGTTGGCTTCTATTAGAGTTTGAAATTTGGATATTTACATACTTCCAACTCTAGTTAACGCATAGAGCCTTTTGTTGTAGCTTTTTTGTTATAAGAATACTTACCGCTTAATATTTTAACATCACACATTCACACCTACATTAAGAGGCATGGTTACCGATATAATATGTATATATATATAATGATCCAACTGAATTTAAAATCTATATATGTTCACGTATAAATCAATATTTAAAACTACGAATATTCAGTACACCGTTAATATCACTTTTCTTGAGTTGTATCACAGGTTGCATGTTTATTTGTCTTTTCCTGTCACGAGCATATATATGTGTTGCTCAGGCCGTCTCAATTAACTCATAGGCCTTGTTAAAACATACTCCCTCTGTTTCTTTTTACTGTTTTGGCTAAAAACACAACTATTAAGAAATTTACTTTTCTTTAACAAATATTATTTAATACTAGAAGAGAATCCGCGCATATGCACGGATCTTATTTTAATTTATATATTTTAAATATTTTCTATTGAATTTTATGTTTGCTATTAATATATTTTTGTCTAAAATATTTATATTTTCTTCGATTTCTTTTTGACAATATATTATATGTAAATTTTTTTACACCAGTTGTATTAAATAATCTCATTTTTTCTTCGATCTTTATATTCTTTTTATTCTTATAAATCTTACTAATATAATACTTGTTAGTTTCTTAATTTATCATTTGAATTTTTTTTGGTTATATAAATTTTATTGATTCCATCTTTTTTTATTATTTTAAAAAAAACATAGATGACATTTTTTGTGAATACCTTTCTTTTTACTATTATTTTTTTAATAACTTTTATCTTTTTAATCATTTATTAAATATGATTTGTGTTTTATAATTTTATTAGTTGAATTTTTATATAATATTATTTGAAACTTTTTAACTTATTTAGTTTCATAATTTGTTTTCACTTGCATTAAAAATTAATTAATTTTTTTAGTTTATAAATAAATTTTAAAACATTTTTAAAAAATAGAGTTGTGCATTTAAAAAGTCTTGTATTATATAATATTTATAAGTTTGTATATGTTTAAATTAAATTTGAATTTCATTATAATATAAATATATATACTAATATTTATTAATGTGCTTTAATGTGTTTTAATGTAATTTAAAATGTTTTAATATTTTTAATGTGTTTTAATTTGTTTGCTTTAAATATAATTAATTATTTATTTTATTAATGTTTGAAGATGACAGGTGGCGCTCTTTCCAGCGCTGATGTGTCACTCAACTGGAGAAAATTGGCCAAGTTTTTATATAAGATATAAATTAAAATTACTTTAATTAATTATAAAAAAGATTACATAATTTAATTGGTTACACAATAATCAATAAAAGTAAAAGTTGCATAAAAATATGAAAACAACATACATTGTGAAACAAAAAAACTTCAAAACAGCTTATAAAAAGAAACAGAAGGAGTAATTTATAATCTAAAAAAAAACTCAACCAATGATGAAAAACACTGCAGAATACTAATAGTTATAAAATGAAAAATGAAGTATTGCATAGAAACGTGAAAAACTTAAATAAACTGCAAAAAGAGATTCTAACGAATCTTTGATAATTAAATGGTGGAGTAACATTTAGCTAAAATCTTTTTTCTTTATTTGTTTGTCAACCATTTAGCTAAAATTTAATCATCAAAAACTGCAACTTACTTTGCAATCTTGACCAATGAGTAACAAGGATACATTCGGCAAAAAGTAACAAGGATATAAAAACGCGGACACCAATAGAAATCAAATCACGATTAATTGTGTTTTTATACTCTTATAAATTTTTCATGGCATTGTTAGTATAAGGGAAATTACATATATGCTTTAGCACTGTAAATACTATCAACAACAACAACGTTAATGGGTAAGCACCGTTAATAAATAGCAACAACAACGTTCAGCTTCTTCAGGCTTCAAAGGATCTCTCCGACAATCGCCTCCGGCGTAACCATTTGGTTTACAGTTCTTAGAGCATGTTTACGTTGTGACAATTAGCCATTATTGTAGGTCATTTAATTATTGTTTTGGGTTTTGTGTTGACATCAATGTTCTTCATCGTTGGTTTTACATAAAATGCCAGACCTAATTACTAAAGACTAAAGTAGCGTAGCTGAAAAGTTATAAACTTATAATCTAAAGAGATATGAGATTTGTTACTATTGAAAAGTCATAATTCAAAAATCAAAATTATAAACTATAAAGTATTTGATGCTATGAAATATCTCACATACACAAAGATTTATTAAACATGACGCCGGCCAGTTAATGACGTGTCTTAAAATATGCTACACGATCGTCATTGACAAGAGAGATTGCGTCCCTTAAGCAACTTCTCCAAATGTTATTAGATGAAAATTTTAGACATTTTAGTTAATCATTGTAAGAATCGTACATCTTTCTAGTATAAACAAATTTAATTGAAATTTTCTATATATACATGAACGCATATATAGGACTATATGTTCGGGAAAAAAAGAGGGACTATACATTTATAGGGATCCACACTAGTAGTAGTAGAATTTTTTTAAATAATTTCTTAGAATCAGGCAAGCTATGTCTCCCATCAAAAACCCTAAATGGCAAACATAAATCATTTTATTACTGAAGAAAACAAAGAAGAAGAAAAATGAGTGAATCCTTGATAAGATGCTTAAGGTCTCCGATTGACATTAAAGATGAGAATTAGGGTTGCTTTCTTCAATAGTTCGTAAATATTATAAATTTATTGGAAGTGTGGGAACCTCTAATTAATTAATCATGCAGCCTTTAATAACTTATCTTTTACCTTTTGATACATAGCGAGCTCTTAGAGCATGTTGATTACTTGGATTTATTGGATCCATTGAACATTGAAACATTGTCTTTTTGCTCTATAAAATGAAAACCAAGAAAGGGTAATCTCTTGGAGTAAAACCGATGTCCCTTTCTTTAACTTGCAAAACCATAAAATGAACCTTCTTAATCAATATTGAAAGGACTAATTAAAGATAAATCCATACAAATTAAATTGCAATTAATATTATGTCTAATCATAACCTCTTTGATTAGACGCTCTATCTAACACGTTTCAGAACCAAACGGAAAACATCAACTATCTTCGACTAGAAACTAAAACGGATTCATTCATATATTGTGATAGATGTTGTTTTTGTATAAAATATTTTCTATTAGTTTACTTTACAATAAGAAATGATTATTGGTGAGGACTTGATCGATCACCTACCACGAAGGTTTGGCTAACGAATGCAAGAAATATATATATTTTTAATAAAATTCTGAATTTGACCTCAATTCTTTTAGAGATGCCGTTAACCTATATAATTTGAAAATATTCTATTGAAACCGGAAGAAAGTCTATCATTTCTCCAAGCATCTCAAGGAATATTTATACATACATACATATATGACTTATGAGATATGCATAAAACTTATATATATTTATAAGAGAGAGAGAGAGAGAGTGAGAGAGAGAAAGAGAGAAAGAGAGAAAGAGAGAGAGAGATGCAAACATAATACCGTATATCTTTGGATAATGTAATTTGATCTGGTTATTGATCACTCTGTAACATATATACTAGGAATTAACCCGTGTATCGCGTGATACGCAGGATTATAATATTTTAAATATTATTTTAGAAATTAATTTTAAAGTTTTTAGTTAGAAATTTTAGTTATGAAAAATTATAACGAAATAAACAGTTTATTTATCATGTTGACAAATCATAATAAGTTGTTTATTTAGCTCATTGACAAATTATAATATTTAATAAAATTAAGTATACCACTTATTTTTAGAGTTATTATTTTGAATTGTAATATTTGTTTTTGTAGATTTTCAAAAATTAGAATCATAACTCGTTCATATTAGATTAAACCGTTTATTTAGCCCATTTTTTACTCGATGTAAATATAACTTTAAAACCATTAATTCTAATATGCACCATTTAATGACATTCATTCCACCATGAATTTAAAAATAAAATAAAAAATTCTTAAGTCAAAATTTTTAATAAAAATAATTTTTTAAAATATATATATGATCATGTAAAATCTAGCAGATTATAGTATTCAATACTTTTTTACTATCATAACTTTTGATTTTGATTTTTCACATTTGAATAATTGAGAGTTTTTTAATTGAATATATTAAATAATATTATTTGAAATAAAAAAATATAAAAAATATCATATCTTTATAATTAGAAATTAAATAGTAAATATACTCTATTAAATGACAAATATAGACTTTCCATTTTTATAATAGTTTTGAAAGACAATTATATCCTTTCTTATTTTAAATATTCTTTGTTATTTGTAATGGCATTTCATGTAATAATTTACAAAATAAAGGTTGTTTTTTAAAATGTTTATTCAAATAATAATATAGAGATTAGCGTCAGAATATTATGTATGTATATACTAAGTAGCTTATTATAAATAGTCAACCAAACATTTGGTCAGATTTTTAATTAGCATGTAAACCCATATATATTGTATATATTTTGAATAGTGTACGTATCAATTAATAAATTAGTGAGATTGATTAATTTTGTTGGCCCTGAACTTTCTAATTATCCAAAAGGAAAAGAAATCGTACCAACTTTCTGTGAAGATATTAAACAAAATTTTAATTGTGCTTCACATCCATATATATTTATATAAATATATATAAAATCTGCCATAACAACTAACAAGCTATATGCATAGTCTCTGTATGACTATATAACATAATTAATCTATATATATATATATAACTCTCTAAAAATTTTTAAAAGATATAAATAATCGTTTGTGTATTTGCAAAAGCTTTCATAAGCTTTATGAGATGGTACCTCGTAGAAATGTTTACAAACATATACTTTGTATAATTTACAAATATTCCACCGAGATGCACTTATATATGTGCACAAGAGCTATACATATGTATTAAGCACACACCCATCAAGATGTACATACGACATAAAGCAAATACATACAAAATGGGTACATATATAAACACAACCAAATTTAACAAGGGTGTTTATAGAATTGATTATCATTTAGAAGCGACCATTAAAGTTAGCTAACATGGAAATAGGGACAACGCATAATCCTCTACTTCTCAAATCCATATTATTGCTGTTGTTGTTGTTCTTTCGTTCTCTGAGATTCCTCATCATCATCATTTTTTGTTCATCACCTTCTTGGAATTGGATTTGATTGTCCCCCATGCTTCTCATATTTCCCTATCGTCACCGTTTCAAGACATATTTACATGTTATATCCATCAAATATAATGTAACCATTATCAGTACTTTAAGATCATTGCACTATAATTAAACAACCAAAACACTGTCCTTAGCTAACAATACACGACCAAGTCTATTTTAAATATATATGATGCAAAATGAATCTTTTCCGTATGGGATATAAATGAATATAAATGAATATAATGAATATAAATGAATTTATATATATATATATGTAAGAAAGGTAGAGAGATTACCATAACGAAACTAGAAGAGACATAGTCCTCAATTTTTCTAGGAGGCGTCTGAACATGTTCAACCTGACTGACCTGTTCAATATCATTCATATTAGAATTACACATATGCTATAACTACGACAAATAATTTTAGCAAATAACAAAAAAAAAAAAAACTATCACAAAGGGAAACTAACACAAAATTTATAATAAAAGAGCAACGTGATTATTGGAGGTAATTGAGTGATAGCCAATCATATCTAACAATCTAAATTAAAATTTATAAAGATGTTTTGGGATTAAACTTTCAATCATGGATCATGATTATTTGATTGCGTTAAGTAGTATCTAACCTTAGGGCTATTGACCGGAGAGCTAGCCGTGTCCTCCAAAGAATCATCCTCACAAATCTTTTTGGTTCTTGCTTTCCCAAACTTCAATTTCGCCGGAAATTTAACTGGAAAACTCCGGCCGGAAAAGGCGTCAGTGGCGGCGTCGGAGATCAGAGAAGGAGAGCCGCCAAGAAGCGAACAAGAACTCTTGTCTTGATGATCGCCTTTTTCATAATGAGTTCTGTTTTGATTTGAGAAATCTTCAAGATAAGTTGTCCATCCACTTTCCTCTTGATGATCACCATCATGATGATCGAGATTGTGATCATCAATCTCAACATCATCAGCATCGTGATGGTCGAAAGGGGCGTGGTTTTGTTCATACGAACTGCAAGAGAATGTATCCATTATGTGGAGAAGGACGAATAACCCAAAACAAAATGTAATAATTCTTAAGTGGTTGCGTAATGTATGTATTTATATAAAAGTCGTTAAATTTTCAAGGTATATAAAAAAGCGAAATAAAATTAATTGGAGCGATAACAATCGGAATCTTGATATGGTCATCACATGGGTCCCAATTGCGTTGATCAAAATTATATACGGAGAACAAATTAAAAGCCAATGACGGACTTCTAAAGAAGTGTGACCTTAAATTATCTTTAGAAAAATATGTTCCAACATAGCTGATCATATATTTTTGTGTAATGTGAAATATAAGTCCGTTTTTATATTGTTTCGAAAAGAATGCTATTTGCATATTATACAAAAGCGAAAATATAGATTCTCGGGTCGACTAAGTAGGAGACAAATATTAAATTTGTTTTTCTATCAAAATTAGCATATATTGTTAAACACTTAAACCTAAGATTTGTATGATTTTGTTTCTTCTCCATGATGTTTTATCAATCGCTTTGATCCATTATTAAGCTTAGATGAGATTTGGCCCAACTTATCGTTGATTTACAGGAATTTATTTATTGTTAGTTGAGACATTGCTTTCCACCAAATTAGTTTATGAAAGTTAAAAATACTGAATATGAAAACAATTAACGGTAGTATTAGTATATTATACCTTATGTAAAATGATTCTGTGATGATCGAATCAAACGTAGATAAAAAATAAAAAAATAAAAACACTAAACCACGATGAATGGAAAAATTAACGAAATTTCTAAAGAAATATAAAAATCCATAAACGGTTGGTCAGTGTGAAAAAGTAATACAAACGGCCGATTTGCGTTGCGACAACTAGTCTTCTAGAAATTGTTCTCCTGATGTGGCTATCTGATTATTCTTTTCCTTCTTAAAAGAAGAATTAAAAAAGTTAAACCCAACTGTTAAAAGGGAAATTATTTGATGTATCTTTTATTAATTTTATAACCTTAACACAAACCAAACACAAAAGAGGGGTTGAGGAATGTTATATGTTCGTTGAACTTGACCACTTTGATGTTGCGTGAGAATGGCAACGTCAAATAAAGTGGACCTTTTTCTTCTCTCTTTTTTCTTATACCTTTTTCTTCTATCCTTTAGCCGTTACATAATGATACTACTACTTGAAACTATGGGAAGGAATGTGCAGAAATATGACGAAACATGTGAAAATGGAATATGATGAGAACTCAGTGATAAAAATAATAGTATCCGAATTCCGACGGATTGATGTCAGCTTAAAAATGGAGCACTTTACAGGGGAAATTTATGTGATAACCATATTTTAGTGCTAAAAAATGAGTGGGTTAGCTTTTTTTGTAAATGGTAAAGTGACATATGTAATAGTTATGCAGTTGGACGAGATTACGCTTAGACCATTTCCATCCCTGAACCCCATTGAGAGATTCATCAGATTTTTTTATTAATTTTTTTGAGAAAATTTTGTTGGATGACTCTATGAAAAACTTGGTGTCCAACCCTGAACTCCTTGAAGGAGTTCTTTGGATTATTTTAATCATTTTTTTATTAAAATCTTTTTTTCTGAAAATCAATTTTACACATTTAATTTATTATAATCTGAAATAAATTATTCATTACATATAAATAAAATTACATGATAAAAAGATTAAACAAACTTATTCATTACATATAATTAAAACACAAGAAAAAAACATTAAACCAAATGTCCAAATTTCTGCCAAACATGTTCAAGTAAATCTTTTTGCAATTTATCATGTGTTTCTGAATGTCGAACTTCTTCGCGATTGCCTATCAAATTTTGAATATTTATAGGCAAATATGTAGAATACGACATATCCACCTGAGAACTTCTGTTAACGTCGCCTTGTTCATATTGTGTTGTATCAACTAGATTAGGCCATCTCCATTGATGATACCCAAAATGGGTATCATAGCAATTATTTAAGTAATTTTTTTTTCGGAACAGTGAAGAGCTTGTGTCAAAAAGTTAGCTCCATCCCTGAACCCGTTAATGGGGTTCATCCGGAATTATTTATTTTTTTCTGAAATTTTTTTGTAATTAAAATTAAAATCACTTATTAAAAAAAGCAAACAATATATTGCAAACTATAGAAAAATACATTAAATTGTTTTCAATTGTTTTCAATTGTTTACATAGAAAAATACATTTGTTACACAGATTTTCGATTTCCGATTCAATTTTAGTGATGAGAGGTGTGTATGACTCAATTTAAAACACAGTTACTTATCATGAACGGCTTAAGCATAATTCACAAAATACATTAAATTGTGTTCAATGGTTTAAGCGTGTTCCAAAGTAGTGAATAACAAAAGAACATAAACGATAAAGATAGATGACTTCAGACAGACCATCGCATGACCTCTGAGACCCGAAATTAGACAAAAAATTAAAAAGCCCCAAATTTCCCCAAATCGTATAAACCCTAACTCGACGAGAACTCAAATAAAAACTCTCTACAATTAAAAAACAACCAAGGCTTGGATAACATACCTTTGAACTGGAGTCGTAGAACACTTCGATCTCGGAAAAATCGTCGGAATCGCAAACGGAGGGTGAATCGCCCAAAGAGAGAGCTTCGGTCGTAAAAGAGAAAAGAGAACGACCAAATGTTTTCCAGAAAAAAAAAAGAACGACCAAATTTTAGTTTCTCTCTCTTTTCTGTTTCACCCAATAAAAACGTTACACGTGGCCATTTTACCTCTTCCTGAACCGCTGCTTCAGGTACATCCCAAAGCACTGATGCTTTCAATTATGGGCTTTTATTCTTTTTTTCAAATCCAAAAATGCCCAATAAACCCCCTGATGAACCCCATATTACCCAGCGTTGGAGATGGTCTTAATACTACATTCAAAACCCAAATATTAGAGATACAAAAGGACAAAAAAAACAATTGGGAAATAAAATTTACGTGATGAAAATGCTCGCCCACATCTATATCGATTTTGAGTTTACAATAATAACACAATGTACAAAGACCAAATTAGTTTTTTTTCTTCTTCTATATAACCATTTTCTCCACAATTTTTATTTAAATATTGATTTTGCCCACTACCCCGTTTGGGGGCTTGAAACGTTGTAGTCAGTGCCGTGCGAAGGTTTATAGGGACTTAATGCAAACTAAAAAAAAAGGGTTTTTTCATTAAAAAAAAAGGTTTTCTAATAAAAAAATATAATATAATTTTAAAATCATATAAAATATTTAAAAATAAAATTTTAATCTAAAAAAACTAATTAAGACATAATCTTTCTTCCTTCTTTTTCAATAAACTTTTTTACCAAACTCTCATAATCGAGGTCCTTAACTAGTTTTCTTTCTATAGATATGATAGATAGACCATTCAATCTTTCTTGTGACATAGTTGATCGCAACTAAAACTTTATCAACTTCAACTTTGAAAAACTTCTTTCAGCCAAGGCAACTGAAACTGGAATCGTCAGCAATATCTGATAAGTAATCTATGAATTTTTTTTCTTGGGCTTTAGGGTTTTGGTCTTATTTTAAGATGTTATAAAGCCGATAATCTAAACAAATCTTAATCAATTTTCTAAAATTATTGGGAGAAGGTAATCTTAATCTATTTCCTATATCTATTCCTTTTTCTCTCTCTTATAAACAAAAATAAGAAAACATCTTATGTAAAAAGGACTTCATGCTAACCATAAACCACTTAATCACCTCTTAAGAAAATGGGGGCCCTGAAAAATTAACATATTTTGGGGGTTTGAGGCGAAAGCCTTTTTCACTACATGGTAAGCACGGCTCTGGTTGTAGTACGTAGATGTGAGTAATTCGATCTTAGGCTAAAACTCAAAAGCGAAATGGTATTTACCATTAAATTAGAATTTACTGGAACCAAAATTCTCCAGTGGTGATCGAAAGCGGAAATTTACTAAAAAGAACAAGAAAAATTCACGATCTCCTCCTTTTTTTTTCCCTGTTACATTTCTCTCCACACCATTTTTTTCTCTGTTTTTCCTTTTTTTGTTTGTTTGTTTGTTTGTTTTTAAAAAGAAACAGAAAACAATGAAGAAAGCGGGCGAAATCTCCGCCGCCTCATCTCTCCATTTCGCTTCAAAGACGGCTAGAAACGGTGGTCCGATCAGTCCCACGGCGGCGGGCAGGCGGTTAATGTAATAAAAAAAAAAAAACAACGCTATCATCGGATTCGCTTCTTTTTTAATAAAATATTATCTACAAATACGTTTTGGAAGATGCTAGAAGTCGATGATTGGTTCTCCGATGGTGAGATTACGCTCCACCGTCCATGGTAAATCGAAGAGCTTCGCCGTCACAAACTTGAAGATCTTATTCACGTTTATGTTATATGAAGCACTCGAGAAGAAGAGTGTCGCGTTTAACGCCTTCGCATAGGCTCTTGCCTGTGACATAACATATTCACAATGTAAATGGCTTTTGTTTCTATAATCTCTCTTTTCTAATAACTCCACATTGGGTTAAAAAACCATTACCTGGCTCGCAATTGTCCATTGCAGATCAATAGGAAGCTGAATAAACTCATCAAACTTGGTTCCTACCATAACTGGAATCGCCGTCTGCATAAAAGTTATCAAAGCATATCAATTTCGGTTTTATTCAGAACTCAGATTCCATACAACACGACTAGCTATTATAAAGAGACTAAATCAGGAATGATCTTGATATGATTAAAGATCTTTTACCTGATTAGACTTTCTAGCTTGTTGAAACCAGCTAATCACACTGCATAATGATAAAGATTAAGGGCAAGTTTTAGCTTCAAATTGCAGATAATGAAACCTAATTTTCATGTTCTAAGCAGTGATTTTACCTGTTAAGTGTGCAACGACTGGTTAGATCGAACATAAAGAGAATAGCTACTGAGTCCTTGCAAGCCATGGGGATTTGATCCCGTGATTTCTCAGCTCCTATAAATTGTTAATTAAGCTAATTTTAATCTTCCAGATTCATGGATTAACACTAATAGCGATAATGATATTGCTTTGTGAAGAAGAAGAAGATACCTTCTAATTCCCAGATACTATAGGAAATGCGAGCACCTCCCATGGATAAAGTCTTGTCCGTACAGTTTATCCCTTTCTCCAATTCTCTCATCTCAACTTCTTTCTCTTCACCAACATATTTCGCCTTCGAATCAAAAATCAACCAATTCAAATTTGATCTTGTTAGATTCGAAATCGAAAACAGATCCAATGTCTTCTCACAAAAATTCCAAATCGAGAATAGGTTATATGATTGCGACTCTGATTCGAAATCGAAAGAGACGTAAAATGATTTAATCAGAGTAAACTTACCAGGAAGCAAGTTTTTCCGATTTCTGGATCTCCTAAGAGGCTGATCTTGAGAGAAACCAGATCGGAATCCGATCTACGGTGGCTATTATCGCGGTCGTAAACCGGTGCGTGGCGTACGAACTCACCACCACCACCGACTTCTACGACGGGGATCGGAGGAGGTTGAGGACGAGAGACAGTCGGAGACGGCGTGGCGCGAGACAGCAACAGATACCTCCGCGATTTTCCGGGAGCGCAAGCGACGATTCTGCTCCATAGCTGCCGCGTGAATCGACGGAGAATCAAAATCCGACGGTTCACTCTGCTCCTTAGATTGTTGATTCGAACGATTTTAAGGCAGGATTGAGCCATTTTTCTCTCTCGATTCGATGAGAATTTTCAAAATCGGAACGGAAACAAAAGAAGAAGAAGAAGAAGATGGAGAATCAGAAAATTTGGAAATTAGGAAGGCAGCTTCAAGAAGATCTTTGAAGAAGGATGGCCAGAGAGAAGCTAATTGGTTCCATTTTGGCCATGAAAGAAGAAAGCAAAGGAGAGAGAGAAGCAAATATACGAGGAAGCTTTTTAAGTTTCTGTGTTGCCTCCTCTTTTTCGGAGGGGACGACACTTAAAAGCTTTTTTCTTAATAATAATATTAATCCCCTTTGATTAATTAAAAAGAGAATTAATTACTTAATTAGGGAGTTTGAAAAAATTGAGGGCAACGAACTTTTCTGTTCAGATGAGAGGTGGGGATTAGTTTTTGGATGTGACTACCACCACATTAACACATTTTGGTCCCTAAGTTGACCTGTAAGATATTACGAAAAAGACGTATCAATCAGTCATATATCTTACGTGCTTGCATTCTAGGCAAAGTTTCTAGATCTTTTTAGCCTGACTATTTTGACAAAATGTAAACGATCTTAACAAATTGTTAATATATATATATAAAAAAAAGAATTGTTCAGCCTAATTGATATGTTGATGATTTAGAATGAAACCAAATATAAGATCATTGTAGATAATTTAAACAGTGTTTTTAGTGGTTTTAAAGTGATTTTTGTTAATGATTTAATAGCTTTTAAGAGAAGGCTAAAGTGGAAAATCAAATAAGAATTCAGATTAATTTTTTGAAACTCTTAAACCATAGTAATATCCCTGAATTCACCAAAATAATTTAAAGTTTTATGAAAAGTTTTATCATTCAAAGTATTTGAATGAAGATATTTTTTACGAATAATTAATGTATCAGATTTGGCAACAAAGCATGCAATGATGATGTGTGTCTTCATGTACCCACCACATGTGAGGCATGTTTTTGGATGATTACTCAAAATTGGGTTTCTTCCTATGATTTCGTTATATTGAATCACAAGTTGACGTGATATAATGAAACAAGGTTCAAGATTCTCTCGACATAATCAAATATTATAAGAATAAACTATCTACTGTATATGATATTGGAAAATCAAATGCTGTTGATTTAATTCGCTTAAGAAAATGTTGTTCCAACTAATGATATTTTAAGTTAATAATTGAGGCCCACGTGAATTAAAAGGAAACACTTAATAAAAAGGGGCTTAATAAAAGACATGTCTCCGACCACTGTTTTTTATATTTATTAAAACCAACATGCACCTATATCGTATAGTCGGGATTACACATACAGACTTTTTTTTTTTTACCAAAACACATACAGACCTTTTTTTGGGGTAAAATAACACATACACATACAGACTTTCCAAGTCAAGTAATGCATTTTTCACCATCACTGGCTAACGTGCGATGCTTGTCAGAACTCAGAAGATGGCCTATTCTTTCTTGTACCTAGGTCGTCAAACAATGTTGAAAAAGTATTTTAGGCCGTGGATGGATTAAAAATAGAGAAATTAGTTAGATTGACTCTAATTTTAATAAAAATGACTAGAATGACTCTCTATTGAAAATTTTACTAGAATAACTCTAATTTGTAAACTTTAGTTTTTTTCGATAATCACAGTTGTGCTATTTTGATTTAATTTTACAAGAAAAAATCACTAATTTACACAATCATTAATTATTAAGTAGTAAAAACATTTTTCTTACACATTTATTAAGAAAATAAACATTACTAACCCTAATCATTGATGACATTCTTCTCTTTTCTCCTTTTTACATACGCCGCCACTGGTCAGTGGTCAACCAACTCCGGCCTCCTTCTCATCGATAGGTAAGATCTTAAACCCAACATCCAAATCTTTTTTTCTCTGTTTATTTCTCTCACTTGCTAATCTCACGCTCTCTCGTTCTATCTGTTTTCTTCGCCGCTAACTCTCTTTTTTTTCTCTCTTGCAGATCCGTAGGCGGCTTCACTCATGCATAACACGCACCTCCGTCTTCTCCAACATACCAGTTCAAAAATGTGGAGACAGATGCTTTGAATTTCGTTTAAGCTATTGTAGTGTTTGAAGAATTTGTTTTGTACCAAACAATATTGGGTTGTTGTAAAGATTTCTCCCTATTGATTTTTAACGAGAAGAGAAACAAACCCTAACCACCGTCCGTTCACGGTGTGTTCCAAATTTTGGATAACAGATTTATGTAAATTTAAATCAGTTTGGTGGCATATTTCTTTATATGACGTTGTGATGCTACACTTGTTTTGCTTGTAAGAATAGTTTTATTAGGTTATGGCAAAGTTAAAATATAGTTATAGTAGATTTTCATAGTAAACTTGTTGTTCTATAACATTTTGATGGCATTCATTTCTATTGTGGCATAATTTTTTTAAGTGACGATAGAGTTACTATAATATACTTGTCATCAGCTGATCAGAATTGATTTCTCCCTTTCTTTCTTCACAATCCATTGAGTTCATTTTGTCTTGGGCTTTGTTGCTTATCTCAACACACATCCTTACTGTGTTAGACACAAACTGACCAGGAAGCCTTGAAATTGTCTGCAGTTTTGAACAAAAACAGGTTGTGTATCCCGTGCGAGTTTGCTAAATATCCTCTTTGGTAATATGTAGCTAAGCTTACCACGTGCATATTCTCGTCTAAACCATAATCCTCAAAACCATGCGTAGGAAATCAGCATACTGTGTACTTTTATTTGCAGCTAGAATTTTGTACCCTCTTGTATTATCGACAACAAATAGCCACATGCAATTTTCAAACTGCCAATATAATGTCCGCATACAAAAATCACTTGCTCCATGGTTGTCGAAAACCTCTGATGAGTCTATCACAAAAAGAAGGGTTATTATGGATATACTGTGGCTAAAATATTTTTCATATCCTGAAATTAAATCTGTTTGTAAAAGTATATCATAACAGTTTCTGTTTAATTCTACCATAAGTATTCGGTAAGTCTATTTACAAATCTTTACCAACATTAAAATTTATATATGTGCCGGAAATAAGTTTTTTACCAGAGAAAGGTTAATCTAGTAACAAAACAAATTTGCTATGTTGTTGACATTGTAAATTTGCCACCAAATAGCAGATATTTATAAGTTTTTTATATCATATAAATAACTCTATCATGACATAAGAGTCATATTGGTAATTAAAGTAACACTTGAATAAATCTGTGAACTCATAGATTTATTCAACATGATTATAACATTGTCACCATAGCCAAATCTCTATCATGTCTTCGAAGGATAACTCTGTCAGATTAATAATAAATCTGTCATACATTTACGTTTTGTATTTTAAAACTGCCAAATTTGAAACATATTTATGGACTTTATGGTAAATTAATTTAAAATCTGTATGTACCAAAAATAAGTCTGGCAAATTTCTATAAGTCTTTGTGAAAACTTTAAATCTCTCACAATGCAACACAGATTTATTAATCAAATCTGCCATAGGTAATTAAATCTTTCATCATACGTAATAGATTTATTGAATTAAGTCTGACAATCGACCAAAAATCTACCATCTGTAATTAAGTCTATTACACCCTAACAAATCTGTTGTAATTAAGTTGATAGATTTATAGAATTTGGAGTTTGGCAGACATATTCAAATCGAGAAAAACGGTGGCAAAATCGTAAATAAAGTGATATTTTTGCTGACGTGAAAATTAATTGATAATGGCATTTTTGTTATATTTTTTTTCCTACAACAAGTTTATAAGGGCAGTTTAGGTACGATTATTACTAAAATAACCTAAATTTTTAGTAAGTCATTCTAGTAATAATTGTAAAAATTAAGGTTAACCTAGTTAATCTCCTTAAAAATACTCAAAACTCTATATAATGCGATTGTTGTGGCATGTGGGATAAAATGCTTTCGTACATGTACTATCAAAATTTATTAAACGCTCGCCTAATCGTGTCCTAGAGTCTCTGCCCCAATAGAAGAAAAAAAACATGTGAAAATTCCTCAGACTAACCTTTAAGGTTAATGTATTGACAAACTTAGCCTAACATATTCATCAGCTTACTAGACTAACCTTAGAAAGTTGGTGTTATACCATTTTGTCCAAATAATCAATATTATTACCTGATTGCCATTGTAATTTTAAAAAAAACTTCAAATTATATACATACGTATATACACATATATACACGTATATACACAAACATTTCCCTAATTCTAAAATTAGAAATTACAAAACAAAAAAAAAACTGTTAACCCTAATCCGGCGGCGACGATATAGGCGATTCGGCGACGTTATAGGCGATTTAGGGTTTTCGGCGGCGACGAAAGGTTTTTCGGCCACTCATCTGGTAAGTGTTTCACATCTGGGTTCATTTCTCGTCTCGAACAAGTTTTTGTCTTGGGTTTTCGGGGTTATGTCGAAAACTGTCTACGCCTTTAGTCGCGACGGTTGTGTTTGGGTGTCAACGGTGGTTTCGCGCTAACGGCGGAAGAGAAACCATCTGTTCACATGATTTTACTCAGGAATCGTAACCCTTTTCTTATTTTTTTCAGGGAAGTATTATTATCGGCGGTTTCCGTCTTTGGAGAACGGTTTCCAGAGACCCTACACGATTTCCGGCGAGTAATTTCTGGTCGGAGTGGTTCGGTTCTAATTTGTTTTTGGTAGACTTTTCAGTAGTTGTTGCATTTGGTCGATTTGTATATGTGAGGTAGATTTGTTTTCTATGTGAGGTAGATTTGTTTCCGTTTCATTGTCTTGTTTGAATAATCAAAGTATTGTTGGTAGAGTTATTGTTGAGATTGTATTGGTAGATTTATGTATTGTTGGTTGATTTATTCCATGTGTGGTAGACTTTTGGTCGTATTTGGTAGAGTTATATACTATAGTTGCTCCCGGGTTTGGTAGATTTTATATTATAGTTGCTTTCGAGTTTGGTAGACTTGTTCATGGTAGATTTGTTTTCATATGTGGTGAGTAATTTGTGTTTGTAATGATTGTGGGTTTAAAATTGCGTTTGGTAGACTTACGAATTCTATATTTGCGTTCTCTCTTTGTGTGTGGTAGATTTATGTATATATTTGGTAGATTTGTGTTGTATATTTTCTTTTCTTTTATTTGTGGTAGATTTGTGTTCGTTTTGGTAGATTTGTTAATGTTTTGTGGTAGGTATTCTATAGTTGTTGTCGAGTTTGGTAGACATGTGTTTGTTCATGATAGATTTGTTTTGAT